AAAATTGAAGTGAAATTTGTGTGCGTAGTTTCCTTTAAAAGTAGGTGACTAGCTGGGTGTGGTGGTGCACACCTGTAATCCCAGCACTTTGGGAGGTTGAGGCAGGAGTGCAAATTCAAGCCCAGCTGTAACAATTTAGTGAGACCCTGTCTCAAAATAAAAAAGGGCTGAGGATGTAGTTCAGTGCAAAGGCCCTGGGTTCAAACTGTTAAAAAAAAAAAAAGGACTAGGTGAACTACTGGTTGATCAGAGATTTGAGGACAGAGGTCCAATCAGAAATCTGAAAGCCCTGGGGACTGGATGACTGCCTTTGGCTTTTTGTCCCAGATGAACCTTGATTCCAAGAGGCTAGTTTTCCCTACTTTTCCTTTTAAAACTCTGATCTGATCTTAATTTTGATAGTTAACTAGCATCCTATGGTATAAGTAGATGGGGCTGGTTATCCATATGCGGTCCAAGTCAGCAAATACTGCCAAATGCTCACAATGTGTAAGCATTTACTGGTTCTATAAAGAGACTCAAAAGGTGAAAAGGACATATTTCAGGTCTCTACATAGAGAAGGTAGGCATTCATCTAAATAACTAGCCTTGCCTCACACTTTTCACTTGACTTTGGCAACAGACCAAACTCCCGGTGGCTCAGTTTCCTCTATAAACAATGGCGGCAACAATGTCTTTAGAGAGTACCTACCTTGTAGGACTAGGCTAGGAATCAAGGTTGCGGGTATAGTAATGGGGTGGGTACTAGAGAAAGGGTCTGTGGCAAGACTGAGGAAGTGGTCTCACTAGACTTTATAATAGTTTGGAGCTGCACTAAATCTCCTATAGGGATCCTCCTACATAAACATGGCATCGGGGAAGGGGTGCTTCCTTTTTTACTAAGAAGACCATGTTAGAGCCAGACATGGTGGCTCAGGTCTGTAATCCCAGCTACTGAGAAGGTACAGGCAGGAGGACTGCACATTTGAGGTGATCCTGGGTAATATGAGATCCTCTTTAAAGAAATAACAAGGGCTGGGGATGTAGTTCACTGGTACAGTGCCCCTGGGTTAAATCCCTAAAATACGAGAAAGAGAGAGAGAGAGAGAGAGAGAGAGAGAGAGAGAGAGAGAGAGAGACAGACAGAGACACAGACAGACACAGAGACACTCACAGAGAAAAATGAAAAGACCATGTTAAACTGCTATAGTGCCAAGAACTTGGAGACCATGTGTGCCTGTGACCATCAGTAGGCAAGAGTGTTTCAGCTTGAATCTCTGAACTTGCAGTGGAAAACTGATGTAAACCAGCTGACCCTGTAAGTTTGTTGTGGAGCTGAGTGTCTAGATGTCCCTATATGTAACAATCACCTGGCAATACCAGGGAGGCACTTCCTAGCAGACTAAGATCAACCAGTTCATCTTGAAACCAAAGGCTACAAAGATTCATGTTGTTTGGATGTCATTTTTCCCCAGAGTGTGGTACTTTTATAACTCTTCACAGATGTCATTAGTTCAGATGGTACTTGGGCTTTAATATGGTTTATCAAGTCCAAAATTTATGTTGGTGTTTAATCCCCATTATGCAGCATTAAGAGAGTGGAAACTTAACCTGACTCCCAGAACCAGGGAACACATGCTCCATGTCTCCTGACTCTCATCACATGACGTTGTGTACCATTTCAGGATTCTGTAAGAGATATCTCTAGATGTGGTCCCTTAACTTTGGACTTCTACAACAGTAAGCCAAAATAAATTCTTTTAATTAAAACTTACCCAGTCTAGGGAAATGTGTTATTGGCAATAGGAAATGGATTAATACTGTATAGATGAGCAAAAAAATTTTAAACTGTGCTAACATTAAAGAAAACCATTATTAAACCAACAAAGAAGGATAGGTGGTCTACTGCATAGCATCTTGTTTAGTATCAAATTTGGTAAGTACTGGCTGGGGTCCATTGATGAAGAGACTTCCAGGACAGGGAATATTAACTAGAAGCCTCATGCTTCCAACCCACTTTCAGCTCCCATTGTCTTGTCTTGGAATTCCTCTGAATCTGACATCAGTTCTTCCTCTCTGTTTGCAGAGTCCTTTGTGCATTTCTCTTCAATGGCTCTTATTCCATCATGGGAGGAGTTTGTCTGCCAGTTTGCTTTCCTTCCTAGTGGTGAGCTCCCTGGGAAATTGCCTTCCTAACCTATGAAGAAGAGAATAACAGAAAGATAGGTCTCTTTCCAACTGCTTCCTGAAGATCTGCAAATTGACAGGTGAGCAAATGATGAAAACCCCACCTCCCACAGAGCCAACATGATTATTCAGGCAGAAGGAATTCATATTTTAGGAAGAAGATAGGTTGTAGCTATAACAAATTTCTATTTACAAGGAATCCCATCCTGCATCTATATCCTTGAGAGATACAGGAGCTCACAGAAGAATGAGATTCCCTGTGTGTTATGCATTTCTGGTTCAGCTGATCCTGGGTGCAATGAGAAGTCAGTGCTTGTCTCTGGCATAGTCTCATTCCTCTCATCGTCACCTGTACCTCCATTTGGGTTTCTGCTCTTTCTCTCAGCTGGCTGTCAATGATTCTCTAGTTACTGATACTTAACAGACTATTTTACCTTTGAAGCAAGCTCATATTTCACGAGCACTGAGTTGTTAGTGTAGTTAACTGTATCTTTTTTTTTTTTTTTTTTCGTACCAGGAATCAAACTCAGGACCTTGCGCTTGCCAGGCAGACACTTAGGCCACTGAGCTATAACCCCAGCCCCTGCAGTTAACTGTATGTATAATGGTGGAATTATGGACTGGAATGAAAACCCTGTTGTCTTACTCATTTCGTCAACTGCCTCATTCGCCTCCTCACAAGTTCATTCTGGCAGCCAAACACAACAGTCATACCAGTCACAACAGTCACAAATTGTGCCGGCTGGCCCGAGCTGCACAGAAATTAAGTGCACAGATTCTGAGTCAGCTGCTAGTTTCAAATCCCAGGTCTTTTATTATTAGTTATGTGTGACCTTAGGAAAATAATAAAACTTCTTTATCTGTAAAATAGAGCTATGTTCCCTATCTCATTCGGATGTTGTGTTCAATGAGATAGTCAATGTAAAACAAATAGCATAGGGCCTGGCCCAGTGTTGGGGTTAAGTAAATGCTAGCCATTGTTGTTTCATTCTGGCACTGGAATGCTCTCGTTTCCTCATAGACGCAGATACTTGACACATAACCATTTACTTTGTAGCCAGGATGCATTACCTGTAGTGAATAGAGAACCAGATAGGCGAACATCTATTTGCTGAATGACCAGCAGGATTCACTTCTCTCTGGGTCTGTTTCACATTACTAAAGTGAGGGAGACAGGCAGAGGTTTCCAAGGTTGCAAATTCAAATGTTCGTAAGGCCAGACAGGTAAAATCACTGGTAACTTTCACTGGGTGTAAGACAGTAGAGAGTGGTGGTGATTATGGTTAATTCCAGAGCTTTGCCATTCAATGTAGGCTATTGACCGGAAGGAATGGCAAAACCCTAGTTTGTTAAAAATAACAGATACAGGTCTGCATTTTAACCAGAATCTGTTTTCTTATAAATGTCGCAGGATTTGTAAGCACAGGAAATCTGACCAGGTTGTTATGGAGCATGAGCCACTTAAAACTATTCAAATTATTTAATTTTTAAATGTCAACCAAATACACTTTGATCGGATCGGGCCCTCGTGTGCTGACAAGTGACCACTGTAGTTGGTGGGCTCTAAGATGCTGCCAGCTTTAAGAGTCTCTCTTTCCGAACGGCTCTGGGTATGTGGTATGTAGCAAAGACCAAGCCTGGGTGGCTTAGAACAATACTTCCGGGAATGAAAGATGCCCCAAAAGGTATCTGCTCAGCTTCCTGCCTTCTGTAACTTCACACAGGTAAAGTGAGGCCCGGGGAGACCCACTGACCCAAACCTAGACAACAGGAACTGGTGGTGTTGGATGCATCCACCAGGAAAGTAGACAACCCTGGGTTGTTAGAATCCAGCTGCGAAGGCCTGGAAAGTTTATATTCTCCAATGAATAATAATTGTTCTCTGTTTCTCTCAGCACCTCCCTGCTACTTCCTGGCAGCCCTGGGGACAGAAAGTTTCCTCCTTTTGGACAGAGAAAGCCCAGAGTTGGCTTCAGGACGGATATCCGGCCCGGAGGACGCAGGAGTGCAGCAGGCAAAGGCCTCATTGTTCCCTGGGGCCAAGCGGCCCCGCCCCCGGCCCAAAGAACAGGAGTGCAGACCCCAGGTAACAGGAGAGCGCCCATTCCGCAGGACGACGGTTTTCGGAGAAAGCAAGAGAGCTGAGCTGGATCTAGATCTGGAGTCTGATGTTCTGAGCGTAACAGTGGAAGAATCTAAGAGCCCCAAGATAAATATAAGTCCAGAATTTGAACACATTTCCATGCCGGGTCGCGCTGGCCTGGCTGTTCCTAATTAACATTCTACATTGCAGGCTCAGGCTATCCCGCCCGAGTTTTTATAACTCAGTCTGAGCGAGTGCAGCTGAAACGAAGACTGTTGGCTTGCGGGGCCCGCGTGCAGCAAGACGGTTTACTAGCACGGCGCGGCGCTTCCCACGCTCAGATCCCCGCGGAGGCGCGATCCACGGAGACCGCCGCCGGCTGGGGGCGCTCGGGCCGCGCCTACACTGGGGCGACTCGCGGAGCCCTTCCCGCCTTCCGGGCGAACAAAGTGCAGCTCTGTGCGCGACTTGGCACGTGTGCGTGCGAGACAGCAGGCAGTGGCCAGGCGGGCGGGCGGGCGAACCCCGGCTCCGGCGCCCAGCGGCTCGCTCGTGGGCCCGTTGGCCCTGGGTGCGCAGCGGACTGACGGTTCTCCTGCCCGAGCGCCCCGGGACCCCACGGCTCCCGCCCCGCTCCCGCCCGGTCGGGGCGCTTCGCCTACCGCCGCCGTGGCCTGAGGACTCGGTGTTCCCGGCTCTGGGCAAGGCTGGCAAGGGGCGAGCGGACCCGCACCCCGGGACCGGAGGCTCTCGCTGGGCTGGAGTGCTTTTGACTCGCCCGCCGGCCTGGCGGCGGCCACCTCCGCTCTCGGCGCCGCGCAGGGCGTGTCTCCCGCTCCCTCAGCCGTGGGCCCGCCGGACTCCTAGACCGCCCCGCTCACCCCGCCCTGGCGCACCGAGGACTACGACTCCCAGCAGGCCCCGCGCCACTTGCGCCGAGGCGGGAGGTGCGTCCGGGCCTGCGCCTGCGCACTGCGGCGGCCCGAGCCTGCGAGTACCACACCCCCGGGAGGGACGGAGGGGAGGTTGAAGCATCCGAGGCATTAAAGCATCCGAGGGAGCCGGAGGGGAGGAGAATGGAGTGACAGAGACACGCGGAGGGTGGGGGGTGGGGGGAGAGTGTTGAGGGAGGGGGGAGGGGGGACACAGAGGGAGGAAGAAGCGGCGGCGGCGGCTTCTCTGTGCAGAGGGGGAAAACTCGAGGGCTCGGAGCAGGAATAATGCGGTAGGCGAGGCGGGCTGCTGGCTCCCGGCTCTGGCAGCAGCGGCGGCGGCCCGAGCAGCGGCAGCACCCAGGCGCTGACAGCCCGGCCGGCCGGCTCCCTCGCTGACCGCGGACTGTCAATGGAGCTGGAAAACATCGTGGCCAACACGGTCTTGCTGAAAGCCCGGGAAGGTAAGCGGCGGGGCCGGTGCGTGCCTGGCGCAGTCGCCGGGCCGCGGTGCGGAGTCGGCGGCGCGTGGGCTGGGGCCGCGCGGGATGCCCGCGGCGAGTCGGTCGCGTCGGGACAGCTCGGAGAGGCTGCGGGGCTCCTGCCTTGGGCAGAGCAGCCTGCAGGGATTAGGATGCTAAAATATCCCCTAGTTTCCAGCTCTCACCCTACAGATCGTGCCATCTCGGCAACTGTTAAAAGGTCAGTTGGAAGAGCATTCTTTCAGGCAGAGAAGGGCAAACGCGCAAATAAGAAAGCTTTCCGAGTCGGCCCGGGATGGTTGGTTCTGTGAGTGCGAGTGGTGTGTGGATGGTGGGAGGGGGTGTTGGAATTAGCAGAAGCCAAGTCTGCTTGCGCAGGCTGAGTTGATAGAGAGTATTGCTGGAAACCATCCGCTGGGAATGTGTCTTAGGGAAATCCCGTCGGGTGGAAGGAATCCTTTTAAAGGCAAAGTAAGATGTTAAGGAATTAGCCAGTTCGGAGTCCTACAAGTCACCTAGAAAGTAATTTAGGATTTCAGATGCGGTTATGATTTTTTTCTGGGATGGGGTGGGGGCAGATACGGAACTGTTTAGTTTTGTCTCAGTTAAGGAAGGTAAGTGTGCCGGTGCTTTACGCGTTTCGGATGCGAATGATCAGATTTCCTGCAGTTAGCTAGCAGGAAGTGTCATCTAAATGGAGTGGGTAAGATCTTAAGTCATACCTATAAGTACGTATATTACTCTTTCTTGAGATGAAAAAGAGAGAAAAGAAGTGGCCCTGAAACTTAACTGCTTTCTGAAAGGATTGTGCTGTGTGTGTATAAACATGCATATTTAGGAATACCTGGAATTTATGTAACATCTCTTTTGCCAAGATTTGGGTTCTGGTGTGCAGCTTTTTTATAAAAAGGGAAGTGGTTTTTCCCTTTCCTGGGAGGAGGTTTTATTTGATACCCAAGGTAGAAGGCAAACTAAGTAAGGTCTTGCCTTTAGAGGGATCCTTAGTAAGCAACCCATGAAAATGCCGTACCTACTTCTTAATATTTTCATTCACCCACTTTGATGAATGAAGGAAGGATTTCTGGCCAGCAATAAAACGATTCATGTTTATCCAGCCATTCCATCACCTTGTGGCTCGGTACAGGCTGTGCGGCTAGGTGATGCACACAACCCACCCTGGGCTGGGGTTCAGCAACTCACCCGGGTGTTCAGGTCACACTTCTATGGTTGCTCGTCCCTCTAAAGCAGCTCTAATGTACCCACCCGGGAGGTTTACTTTGAAATCCCTGAGGGAAGCAGTGCTTTGAAAATACTGAGCAGAGTTTAAAATATGCACATCCATCTCTCTGCAATTCCTCTTCACTCAGCTTTGGTATGAAGATTTCTAGAGGAGACTGTCACTTGGTGACTTCAGACTAAAGCCTGAGAGATCTCTCTTTTTTTCTTCTCTCTCTTCTCTTCTTCCTTCCTTCCTTCCTTCCTTCCTTCCTTCCTTCCTTCCTTCCTTCCTTTCTTCCTTCCTTCTTCTCCCCCACTCTGGCATTTTTAGTGAACTAGATCAAAGTGGGGGCTATTGAGCTCTCCTCTGGGCTGGATAGGACAGCGCTGGAGGGAAGAAGGGAAGAAAGCCCCCTGCCTGCAGCCTTTGCAGCCAGCCACCTAGTGGTGGGACACAGTTGTACATGGCAGGGTCACAGGGGTGGGAAAGTTTTTATCCTCCCTCCATTCTAAAATTCTTTCTCAGGCAAATCTCTGGATATGATGGTGCTGGAGGCCTTGTAAGTTTCCCGGGTTCCTCTTGTTGCCCAGAAAATCCGCTCCCCAACTTTGCTGTGCTAGATGTTTGTTTGCCTGGAGGGATACTTTCCTCTTCCCTTAGCATTTGGTTATTTCTTTTAAAATGTTTTCCCTTGCAAGTACTAACCAGGCTTGACCCTGTTTAGCCTCCAAGATCAGACAAGATCAGGAGCATTCAGGGTGCTATGGCTGTGGATGTATCATGTACAGTTACAAATTCCGTATGATGAATGTGATCATTATGTATATCTAAGATGTACTGACAAATTTAACTAAAATAAAATAAAATGTTTTCCTTAGAGTAGGCAAAGTTTTATCAGGTAGTCTCCTCTCCAGTTGTTCTTCCCGGTTGTTTTGCTAAAATGAATTTACTGGCTGATCTTTTTGTTTGTCAGGTTAAGAAATAGGCTATTCCAGAGACTTAGGGAGGGGAGCAGCAGGTTGGAAGTGTGTTTGGAATGACAGGCTCCCAGGGGACAGAATTACAGTGATTAGAAGTGCTCAAGAATGTGCCCTCTGCTTTTTTCCTTTTAAAGTATTTTTCAGTTTCTTTTCATGGTGAGAAATAGCTCTCGAAGATGCCTTAGAAGTGGTGAGGTCTTCGCCTGTAAGGAAGTAGGAGCAGACTGACATATGAGGAAGAAATTATCATTTATGTGGCAGCCACATTTTCAATTTGCATTTCCCCTGTTTTTTTCTGTTATGTCTAGAGAGAATCCACAATTTTAAAGGCTTCTGTTTAGAAAAGCTAGGCTTTTATTTGAAATTTATGTCAATATTTCTTAATTACTGTGGAAGATTTAAGAAATAAAAACCTTTTGTTTTTCTCTTTTCTGTTCTCTACTTGAAGTCATTCTATTAAATATAGTAATTGTCCCAATAACCATCCTATGTAAATATGAAAAAATGAACATTTCAGCCAAGTTAGTGAACTAGGTAATGTAAATTTTATAGTACATAAGATAATGTGTTATTAAAAATGATTAAAAACACTTCTTAAGCTGAACATGGTGGCACACACCTGTAATCCTAGCGCTTGGGAGGCTGACATAGGAGGCTGAGCAAGTTTGAGGCCAACCTGGACTACATAGTGAGACTCTGTCTCAAAAAACAAAACAAACCCCACACCAAACAAAACAAAAAAACAACCAAACAAATAAAAACACTTTTTAAAAGATGCTTATGAATAGCTATAGATGAAAAATACAGTGGGCAAATGTGAAAATTAATTTGGTTCATTTAGCAAAATACATTGTAAACAATTTAAACTGTGACTTTCAAGTAAAACTTACATTTGTCCCAAACAATAAAGAGACAGACCTTGAAGAAAGGCAGGCATACTTCATGAATGCTGTAATTTGATGTCAATGGCTAACTTTGAGATCTATCTTTTGATATTACTGAGTATTCTTAAAGGCAGATGACTTGTAAATTCATTATGTATTCAAATTCATATCATAATGAAACAAGTATGAAGTAGAAAACATCAATAGAGCAATGAAATACAAAGCCTGTAAGTGGACTAGGGTAAAAGGGATTCACTGTAAATACTTAGAAAGTATACCAAGCAAGTTGTATTTTATTTTACTTTGTTTTTTTTCTGGTACCGGGGATTGAACTCATGACCTTGCGCTTGCCGGGCAGGCGCTGTGCTGCTGAGCTAAATCCCCAGCCTCCACAAGTTGTATTTTAGTCACAATTTTTGAAATAAGAAAAGATAGCCAGGTGTGGTAGCACATGACTGTAAGCCCAGAACTCAGAGGCTGAGGCAGGAGGATTACCACAAGTTCAAGACGAGCCTGGACTACATAGCAGCTACTGGACTCTGTCTCAAAACAAAAAACCAAACAAACAGTGAAGTACTAAGTTCAAAAATTTGAACCAACTGAAAGTTATTTAGTGGGCTGTTTATTTGTTCTGATCTTAGGAGAAAACATCAACGTGAGCACTCTGAGGAGTCTCAGATTACTCTTCTAAGAAATGGTTAAGGAAGAAAGAAGTTGAGACTGAACTCATGCCAATTTATGGAAATGAACTAAGTGATTAAGCATTTAATGAAAAAGAGATCCAGACTCATTCTTCTATCTATTTACATTTCAGAATCTCAGAAAATTGGCAGGCAAGCTAGTGTTGAAATAATGGTAGTGAGAAAGAGTGTTTGCAGAATGCCTTTTATGTGTCTTTTTTGGGTTTTCTATTGCAGTAAGAGTTTTTGCTTTTTCTCACCAACTAGATCTGTTGTCTCAGTACTGAGTGAGCAGTAGTGAGAAGAAATTTTGCAAGCACCCACCTTTCCTTTCTTCTTAGGCCAGCAGTTGCCATATCTGATCAATGAAGACGTCAGAAGGAGTATTGATCACATTTTCCTGAGCTTGAGCCTAGCAAGCACTGACAGAGAAATTAGGAACATAATGACTTTGCCATTTGTCACAATTGCCAAAACCCAGCCTGTACAAGAATCATTTTCTCGGCTAACTCTGTGACTTGTTGGCCTGGATATTCCTGATGATCAAGGTTAGGAACGTGGGGGAATG